TCTCAACTTTTCAAATTATTCTTGTATTATGAAATATCCTTGGAAAAATTGCTTATTATTTGAAAAATTCAAATCTTGAAGACAGATAGTCTAAAAAATTCTTTTAAGACTAATGGATGAACGACTTTTACATGGAGTTAGTTTCAGGATCAAATTAGAAATTATATTTTTTTGGACTCTGTCAAACAGACATAAACAGTTACGACAAGAATAAAATCATTGACATAAACAGAGAACATTCGGGTAAGTTCTCCTTGTCAATCTCAATTACAGATTTTATCTAACTGATATTTTTTTTTTGTGTGATAATAACATACCGATTCTAAAGTTCCATCAAATAATTGATTAGGTGCATCAAATGGCGATTTAGCTGATGATGAATGTGAAAAATGATCATTTGTAAATGGATGTGGAATATTAACTGGTCTTGTCATTGGATTTATTGTTGTTGTTGATGATGATGATACTGTTGTTAAATGTATTGGTGATGTATTACTTGTTGCTGGTGTTGTTGAACGTTCAAAACTTTCAATATCATTATCGATTAATAAAAGTGCATTATTTTGTTCATTTGTTGCTGCTTTATCAAATTCATCTTCATTAAAATTATCTAATCCAAGAGCTGATAATGATGAACCAATTAAATTTTTAACATCAATTGGTGATGATTGATGATCACGTAATTTCTTTTTCTCATTATAACTATCATTAAAACTTGTTAAATAATTTGTTGTTGATGTTGTTACTTGTTGTTCAGGTGCTATTGAATGTATATGTGCATTTATTGATGATAAAAGATTTGATGTTGCAAGTGATGATAAAAATGATGATGGTGGAGGATATGAATGACTAGCAGCAAATGCAGCAGCTGATAAAAGAAATTGTTCATTAAGAAATGATGATGTTGATGTTGTAGATAATGGTGGTGTATGATGATAATGATGAAAAAGATGTTGTTGTGATGATGATGGAGAAGGTTGAGAAATCATTTCTTGAATTGTAAATGAACCACTACCAGAATTATTTGTTAATAATGACTAAAAATAGAAATTTTATAATGAATTAAGAAGAAAGATATTTCTTTACATGTCTATCGGCTAAATGTTGTTCGATTGTTTTCATAGTAGTACCGGGATATGATCCAACTTCAAATAACGATGATTGAGAAGATTTTTTCGGAATGTTTCTTGTTGATGGTAATGTCTTTAAAGATTTTCAAAAAAATAAAAATATTATAAAAGATTAAAATAATAATTAACTTACATCTATATCATCAACTTCTTTATCTTCAGGGATTGGTATAAAAGATGATAATGGTAATTCACTTGTATAATGAAGATCAAAATCTCTGTATGATTTTAATTCTTCTAGAAAAAGATTATTGACACTTTTTTATTACTTTTAATTTAGTTAGATTTGTTTTTATATTTTCAGAATTTTTACATGCTAAACAATAATTTCTATGTCATCAAAATGAATCATCTCTAATTTATCAACATTTAACTCAAAAGTAATGATCAAAAATACATTCAACTAATCGTTCTTAAAAGTTAACTGTACAACTAGACATTATAATTGAAAGCATAATTTTATCAAAATTCACATTATGTTTTTTCACGAAGAAATTTAGTGTATGTAAGTTTTAAGTTGATGATTTGTGTCTCGTCCCTCTTTAGCAATGGCAAGAAAGAAAGGCTCATCATCATTGAACAACCATTAAGAACAAGACTTACACTGTTCTAAAATATTCCTCGAAATTTCAATAGCCGAAATACATTTGTCTATGTTCTAAATAGTACAGATAAAAAATTATATTTAGGATGTCAAAGATGATAGGTAGTGATACATTCATTAACCATAGTCGTCATGTAATCGACATAAAAAACATGAACTGATCAAGTTATAATTTTAGAAAATAATCAATTTTGGTGTTTCTCAGCTAAGTATGTTAAAATCTGATGTAGATCTAATGAATATGTATAACAGGTTTATGTGTTAGTGAAATCAATGTTTAGAATAATAATAATGTTAAATTAAGCAAAGCGAAATACGAAAAGGAAAAACAACTAGATAAACAAAAACTAGAGAAAATCTCTATTCGAAATAAATACATCAGATCATTTCCTTAGAAATCGATTATCGTTGAAAATCAATTGTAGTCTACTAGAGATTTTTCACTTAAACTATTTTGTATTATTTTAACGAAACTAAAGAACATATATGAATCTTACATTTTATTCCCAATGGAATTACACTGACAAATTTTTCTTTTTCTATCAAATATCATTCTATAAAATTCTCGAACGTATAAATTCAAGAGTAACATATGAAGAAAAGTAATTCGTTTAAAATTAATACATACGTTCAATATGTGCAAAAGCACAAAATGGTCCACGTGGGCAATATCCAGTTACGGAAACATCATTACATTTAGTTGATTTATAAATCTTTAAAATAATAAAATGAAAAAAAAAAAAATATTTATTTATTTATTTTGTTTCTATTTTAGAACAAACTTCTGGATGAAATTGTTGTTCAGTACGTGTATGACAATATTTACAACTATCACCAACTTCACATACAGTTGGATCAATCCATTCATCACTTTGTTTAACATGTGGACATGGTGTTGATCTATAAATATGATTTATTTTTTCGAAAAATTATTCAAATAAAATTTTCTTTTATAAATTACTTGTATTTAAATATTGATGGATTACGTCGACGATCACGAGGATTATGATATTGTGGACAAGCATAACCTTGTCGACATAAACGTGGTGGACGTTTACATGGTTCTGTTTTATAATTTGCAAGAACATAATGTGAATCTAAATGATTTATTTTTTAATATATATGTATATATATATATGTTATGGCCGAAGTTGGAATCCAGCCCGATTCTGAATTCGTCCAGACGAAATTGGAATTCTAATTTCGTCTAGACGAAACTGAAATATTTTTTTAGTGAGTCATACAGCTTAAAGAAATACCCACAATAGAACACAAGTGGGTCACGAATGATAATGAGGGTGATCGAGGGTCTTGATAACGATGCAGGCGATCTCAGTGGGGCTGACAGAAGTAGCGGTCAAAGGAAATTGAAAAACCGCGTAAAAACCGTATATCAGTCACAGATTTATCCTTACATTCATCCAAACCACGTCACCGTTATTCAGAGTCCCTCGTCACCCTCACCCTCACTTCATCCCTCAAGATTTGTGATCCACCCATGGTCTGATTTTTGGTATTATTTTAAGCTTTACGACTCACTAAAAAAATATTCCAGTTTCGTCTAGACGAATTCCGAATCGGGCTGGATTCCAACTTCGGCCATAACATATATATATATTGAATTTTGTTTTTCTATTTTTGTTCTTACCACTCCATTTAGGATCATCATTTAAAGCTCGTTCATTTTCTAAACTAATACATAAACGTGCAAGTCTTTCTAAAGCTAAATCACTATTTTGCATTTCTCGACTATCAAGAACTGGTTGTCGTAAATCATTTGCACCATGAGCATATGAACAATGTGGACCATTTTTAAGACAATGTCCTTTAGTATCACACTCATGAGTACATAAACCTGTTTTATAATAACGTAAATGATAACGTTTTTCTGTATCATTTGCATTTCGATGTAAAAGTGGACAACTAGAATGAATATTTATTAAAAAGAAACTGAAATAATAAATTAATTATTAAAACTTACTCATCACCATTCGAACAAACACCACTTTGTTCATCATAATCATTACAATAAAAATCAGGATCATACGAAAATGTTCCATCTTTTCGTCGAAATGGACGACGACGACGTTGATTTTGAAAATGCCAATAAAAACATGAAAAAGGACGATGTCTATATATTAAAATATTAGAAAAAAAAAAAAACAATAATAAATAAGATTTTTGTTACTGTGTGCATTTATGTTGCAGAAATAATTGACATTGTTCAACACGAAAATCACGTAAATAACTAAAAGGAATAGGGAATTTTTATGTTAAATAAACAATTTTTTATCATTGAGTAATATACTTCAAATGTGAATTTTTTTCTATTAAACCAAGTTGTTGTAGATCACTAGCCATTATAAGATTAAACTTTATATGAATATATAAGGCATAGAAATGTTTTTTTTGATCATTAATAAAAACTTCTCACATGATTTGTTCTTTTTTTCCTTCGTTTTTTACCAACCGAATAAGGGTTAACCTTTTCTTTTCTTTCTTTCTACGCTATTTTTTTTTGTTGTTATTTTTATTTATTTGTTGACAGTCAGGTGATAAAAATATCCATCCAATAAAGTTTATTAAAGCAATCACAATTAGCAAACAATAGAGGACGCTGATTTCTGTAAGAGATCTAATCTTATAGATAATACTATTAATTAGTAAACTGATGTTTTTGAATCATAGGAAGTAGAAATGAATCGATTATAAATATATCATATGAATCATTTTGTTCTATTTGAGATAAATTTCATTCTCAAGGATTTGATGACAGAAAAAGAAGACATAAATAAGAAATTCGTTTTTTATGATAGTTTTCTAAGTAATCATTTTATTTGCCTGGATTCCTTTTTCTAATCATGAACTGAATATTGTTTTATTTCATTTGACAATTTTTTTTTCAGTCTTTTGCAAACGTCGGATTACATGTCTTTTTTTTTGTTTTATTTAAAATAATGTTTTCTCTCACAAAAATATAATATAACTTCTCTGGTTAAAATCAATAGAAAATAAAATCTATTTTAATTATTTTTTTTTTCCTCAAATTTCATTTATATCTAGTTACTGAATAAATATTGGCTTAAAATGAACAAGGATTAAATAGAATATGATTCTTTTTATCTAAAATTTAACTATTTATAGAAGCGATTATATGATTAACATTGTATTTAGTTTGTAAGCAGAAGAATAATTATTTGATTATTAATAAAGTATGTTTTACTTTTAAATAAATATAGTTTATACATCATAGACAAAAAGAAACTTTAAGATTGTAAAAATTGTGCAATTTTAATCGATTTTTCTGCTTCGTTGATTATTTCTTCATGTTCAATTTTATTACTATGACGTAAATCATCTAAAATCGCTTTAGACATTTGTTGAATTCGACCAAGATTACTTGACAATGCAAACTATAAACATCAAATACATTTTTAAAAAGAAAATCTGTATCATTATTATTTTTTTTTTATTCTTACTCGAGCAAGTGTTTCAATACAACCTGAATTATTAATTTGATCATAGATAATCATTTGAAGTTTTTCATTTTGTTGACGAGAAAAAACAAATAATGTTGTTATAAATAATTCAGTACGTTCAGATATTGTTCGCATTTGAAAAAATAATTTTCCTATTTTATATACACTTCGATGTTCACATAATATTGTTAAATTATTTGATGATAAAGCTAAATTACGTATAAGACCAATACATGCTTTAAGTAAAGACCAATTATTTTCTTTTGTATGAAGATATTTTATAACATATGGTATTGCATGATTTACTCGAATGTCTTCGCGAGCTTGATTTGCTAATGGACATTTACCAGTAAGATGTCGAAGGGTACATATCTATTATGAAAACAGAAAGACGTTATTTATGATGTATGATTTTTTTCTAATAGAGATTCCTGTACTCTAAATATCAAAATATGTCATGTATTCTATGAAGCTCGCGAACGTAAAGGTGTTAATTATACTTTAGTACAAAAAATATCCAGGAAGACAATCTATATTGCACAGAATTTCTATGATTTTGATAATTAATATTGTATATATTAGAATTAATTCAATATTGCAATAAGAACTTGTCTTTTCAAAACTTCTTAAATGATGTGATAGTTAGATAAATAGTATATATTATTTATCTTCAAGAACTGATTGAACAGATTTTCTATTTAGAGTAATTCCTTCTTTTCTATGATCATTTTTCATTCTCGAAGATGGTACAACTGATTCGCATGAAATTGTTACTACAGATAGAATACCTAACATAAGAAAACACGTGTTCGAGATTTTTCGGGAAATCCTAGTTTTCTATAGGGCCACATGGGACCTACTTACAACCGATGCCCTAACTTTGTTGAAACGGGCTGAAATTTTGACTACAAATAATTAGAAATATTTTCCAGCGACTAAACCGGTAGTTTCAGTTTTTAATCCTTCTATATAAATTTATAAAATCCTGAATGCTAGCACTGTGGTTTCGGGTCCGAATCTTTACGGATTTCCTTCATGAAAAAAGCGAGATTTAAAAAAAAAGATTAAAATCACCTCTGAGATATATAGTCGAAAATATCATGAAAAACATTTTCAGCCCGATTAAACAAACTTAGACCGGGATCGTAAGCAGACTTGATGTGTGACACCGGAGTTTCCCGAAAAAACCTTTGTTTAAAATTTTTTCCTCGAACATATGTCTCCTTAATTTAGGTTCTCTATCTGTAGTAAAAACTTCATGCGGATCGGTTATACCGTCTTCGAGAACCCGAAATGATCAAAAAAACAGTGGATTACTCTTAAGTCGACTGTGGAAATAGTTTATGTAGTAAGCGCTCAAAGCGATACTACGTAGGATACATAAATTTAAGCGAAAATGACTCATGTGTATGATTTATTCGCATTGAATGATATCAAAATTGTAACTGATATGTATTTATTTGATTTGTATGAAGCTATTAAATTCTTTCTATTATGGATTGTTTCAAAAAAAAATGAGTTTTTTTAAAATGAAATATGATCAGACTTAGATAAAGTTCGCTATTTTTGGGATCAGATTTCGTTTGCAATTAGTACTATCATTTTTCGAATTGTGTCGGAACCGTCAATATTATTGTTCTTTTCTTTTGTTTTTTTACATTCGACCTGGAATCATTCTTCTCTATTTTTATAGCATAATCAAGAAAGAAAACGAAAACCAGATCTTTTTAAAAATTTATTCAAAAGCCAGCAGTATCCTGTTTTTTTTTGAATGTCTGTTAGTTCTATAATTAAAACTTTTTCACATAAAAATTTTGTTAATTAGAAACCTCTATTGATATCCAATACGTTGAAAAAAAAATTTTTTTACATGTCACTGATAACAAATGAGTTAAATATGACCCAAATCAATCCTGAATATGCTATTTCTATGTTCCTTATCAAATACTTTGTAAATGCTTCTCTGCATAAAGATAATGTCTTTAGCAGTATATATCAACCGGCAAAATACATATAATCAAACTATGCAAATGACCAAAAAAAAAATGATAGAAATAGAAAGTAATTAGATTTATTCAACTCCAAAAATATATTTGATTTTTCACAAATTAATAGCTTATTGAATTGTCTACGCAGTGTCCGAAAATATTCTTTATTGAAAAGTAAATTATCATTTGTACATAGTTTTTTTTATAAATGATTTACAAATGACTAAATGCTTGATTAAAAGATTTCGCCTATATAACAGACAACAATATTTGAAGAATTCAGATTATTTATTAAAATTCTGAAAAATACTTTCAAAGGTTCAAAGCATTGTTATAAACATATAGTAGTTAATCAATTTTTATTAATTAGTTCTTCTTAGATTAGAATTACTTTCATACAACGAACTGGAAACTTTATGGAATTTTTTGTTAGATCAGAAAACACTAAAATAATATTAAGCTATAAGACAAGAAATATCATTTCATTGTATAGTAGGGTTTCACGTGGCATAAAACAATTTTATCCCATGAGACATAAATTTTTTCGTAAATGTCCCATCAGATAGGATAATTTCCCAAAATTTCTGTCTCATCCCATCATATGAAATGTTTATGAAAGGGTTTACGTCCCATCTCCCCCGTTTGTCCCGTGGAACAAACACAACTGCTTGTATAAACATTTCTTACAAGTAAAGATATATTTATTTCGGTCGTATAGACGGTGTTCTTGTCTATTTCAGTAGAATTAGCGAAAATAAGTTTTTTTCTATTTTGTAAATGGTTATGTATTTTAGTTATTAGAGCACACTAAAATAGATAACGATGAATGGATAAATAAACAAAAGATGAAATTTTTTCTATTCTAATAGTTAGAAGTAGTGAATTAATTTAGATTTTAATAATAGTCGCGAAAATATGTTCTAGAGATTCATTGTCATCTGCTATTGAATGTCAAGCTGACCCATCTGATTGAAAGGCGAATGTGGGTGTAAGAGAAGAGAATACCAAAACCAAAACAGAGAAAGACAACAGGAAAATATGCATTGAAGACAATATGATTTAATTTTATCGTCACATATCATAACAAACAGCTCTTATCGAAATTTTATTATTATGATATTAGTTGAATTATGATAAAATGTCACAGAAAAAAATAGATCATTGTATTTACTATCACTTCATATAGAGAGAAGATTTCCTTAAACATTCTATACAAAAATAAAATATCTTCGGCACTATTTTTAGATTGCTCACACTAGTATAATATTGTGTAAAATTAATCAAATAGATTAATGCATTAATAAATTTCACTTTTTTAAAAACCATTTGACGAATATGATGTTCCGTGAAACAGAAAATTTCTGAAGGTTATCGCATCTCATCCCATGCAGAGTTCTGTTCTATAGTGTACCAAAACTCCGTCGAAAAATAAAACTTGAGTAACTCTTCAACGATTCAATAAATATACAAAAGTGTATTTCATCATTTAATTTTCATACTCAACAAAGTTTTATTCAGCAAATTTCACATGACTATATTTATAGAAATTAGAATACAAATTATTCTATCAGTGACCATATTTGAGTCATCTACAGTTATGAAATGAAAGCTCTCAGTCAAATTTGGCAAAGATACGTCAAACAAAAATGATATTGAAGAATTCTTTCAAAATGATTTTGTAGCAGATCATGCACATTTTACAATAATGATACAAAAAAAGTCATTGAAGTTCATATTGGTAGAGAAAATGTATCAGTATCAACTGTTCTGCTTGTTTTCAAAATTTGTTCAATATCATATTGAATCATGAGAAAACTCAATAAAATAAAACTTCTTCAGGTTTTGACTCCAAAGTATTTGAATTTCTGAACAACATCTTTCCTATCATGAATTGATTCAAACACATGGGATATCCCCGATTCGGTCCGAATCGGTCCCTTTTCGTTTCGGTCCCATTTGATGATGTCTTAGTTGGGTCCCTTCTCGTTTCGGTCCTTTTTAATTGATTCTCATTTCGGTCCATTTTCTGTTTGGTTATTTTTCAATCAATGACAAAGAATATTATAAATAGTCACGCGTCTCCTGGAACAACTATTTACTAAATTCCTTCACGATTGATCATTGGTCAAGAAAAATCCAGACAGTAATTTATTTTAAACTAGCTGACGCCTCAGTGATCATTGTTTAAGAAATATCGAATTCGAAAGATGAATGATAAGTCTATCGAATTTACAACAACTAATCGAAATGGACTTGTACTTCACTATTAAGGTTATCAATATACATTTAAACGTAAATATAAAAATACTCTACGAATGGCGGTGTGGACGAAGACCGTGTACAACTTCATTTTCATTATGACGAGATAAGAGATCAGTTATTAGAGAACCTGGCTAATATACTTGTACTCCTTCATCACCAGCAAAGATTATCGTTGAAAAAGTTTTGTCTCGTATGAAAAAACGAGCAGCTGTAGAAACTTTACCAATCTCGCAAATATATTCCCAAGAAGTTGTAAAAACTTACGTTGATAATCCTGATATGAATACTGGCTCAATTTTTCCATTATTGGATAGTATTGATTCAAGTTTTATTGTTGCCTGTGTTAAATAAAAATATGAATCACCAGAACTGATTATATTGTAGGACCGAAATGAGAATCAATTAAAAAGGACCGAGCAGAGAAGGGACCCAAATGAGATATCATCGAATAGGACCAAATTGAGAAAGGACCGAAGTGAGAGATCATCGATTTTGACGAAAACAGAAAGGGACCGATTCGGACCGAATCGGGGGTAAACCATTATTATGATTCATTAATTGAATTTTTTCATTCAATATAAAATGGTATTGTGATGCCATTACTTTCCCTGATATGTACAGTTATAACAAAAAAAAAATGAACAGTAGTTTTAATGCATTAATTTGAAATGATGAAGAAGAGATGGAGAAAAAATTGTACATGTGTTTATTTTAAAGAGATTAAAATAGCAATCGGAACTAGTTGAATAATCTTCAAAGTGTTCACATATAGAGGTTTTACTTAGTATCCTAGAGCCGGATCAAGTGCTGTGCATGAGAAAAAAAAAATGTCGGTTCAGTTCCTGGATATGATCTCATATCCGGACTCGACTCGGCAATTAATGAAATCTCGACGTTTGAGAGTATTTTTACTTCCTCAAACTGCTAATCTATATGAAAGCATAGGAATGAAAATCGGTTCGATCATGATTGAACAATTTATTGTCATAGATGTAGAAAGCGAAATTGTTTTACTAAAAGAATTCGTTTGCAATTGAAATTCATCTACAGATGATGATGAATCATATGACGAAATAACTGAATACATAGAGAGGAAACAAAACTATCAAAAATATGAACATATATTATCGTGACGGAAAAAGCATTCATGTATATATCTGTAATTATGGCATGTGGTATCAAGACTACGTTCCATTCAAGCATGATCAACAACAAGTAAACGTATACTTAGCGAAATTGACTGGATTTTAGAAGCAGAAAGATACTAAGTGAATCGTCAATCACTTGCTTTGACATGATCTCTCTTTTTTTTTATGTTACTATTTACGAAAGAAACTAAATAGTATAAATTTTTCTGATAAAATTCAATTTTGAAAACGGTACTATAATTGTGAAAGTATTTACCGAATGTCGATTCACTTCAGTTGCGAAAAACTGTATGCGTACATGACACGAACTTCATTGTATCTAATTTCTCCAATATAAATTTAAGAACTTTGTTTTTCTTGTTTATTTCTGTTTGATTACTAAAGATTAGAAATTTCATATAAATTCCTTTTTTTTTTTTATTTCCAGGATACTTCTCAAACAAAAGTCTTTGCACCAAAACGATCTCGTACTAGAACAACACCACGACAACGTAATACAAAAATGAATTCAACAACAAATAATAGTTCACATACAAATCAAAATGGTCATCCATTAACAATTAAAGATGGAAATATTTCAACATTACCTATTGAAGAAAAATTAATACGTCCATCAATATCAACTAATCTATTAAATAATAAAACAAATTTACAATTATCACGTCATCCACCATTAGAAACACTTTCATATGAATTAAATTATTGTTTACAAGATAAACATGAACTTGTACCAACATCACAATGTTTACTTGGTTGTGTTATTTATATTGATGAACGTGAATATATTTCAATTGTATCAAAAGACGATTTATTAGCATGGTCGAAAACAATAACAGATCATGGTGCTATAGTAACTGATGATATTAATCATGTTAATTTAACACATTTTGTATGTGCTTATCGTACAAGTGAACGTTTTCGACAAGTATGTAAACGTGGAAATGTTCGAATGGTTACAGCACATTGGCTTAGTGATGTATTACAACGAAAAAAACTGTTTGTGCCTAATTTGGCTATTCATTATCCATCACCATTTGAACCGAATGATCCAGATAAATTACCATTAGCGAAATATTTTTTTACAATGACTGGTTTTGAAGGTAAAAATAAGTAGTAGCGAAATCTAAGCTTTATCAGCTATAAAAAAAAAGAACGTCTTTGAATCTTGAAAGTAATAAATTGCTTATATCAATAATGATATATGTAAAATATATTTTGGTAATATATTGTATAAAGAAGGAAAAAAGAAATATTTGACACCTATCAAAATTAGGATAATTTTAATCATTTTCATTTCGAAAATTATTTGGATCAATTTTATTACATGATGACAGAAAAGTTTTTGTACCCAAAAGCTAAATAATGCTTCGAAAAGCAAAAGACGATCTTAAATCAATATATTTTATAGCTAAAACGAAGAAAAAAGATGCATTAAAGATTTTTAGTAACTAGTGGTTGCAGTCAAATAAATTAATTCTACTTCAAAATAGAAGATCCATATTTAATATTAAAAAAAAAACAGTGTCTTAACCAGATTTTCTCTTCCGATAGGTAAGATTTAAGACTTCGGAACGATGAATCCGATTTTTGGAGACGCGTCGCTCTCATGCTAAATAAAACACTGAAGAGACAACTTATCGAATCTTCTACTAAACGATATTATTTTGAATAGGATACAATTTTTCCGTGAAATATTCAAACAAAATATTATTTTCATGTTATAATAGACAAATCTAATTTTTAATTAAACTATCGTTTGTTCAGTTTCTTGTATGCTCTATCAATTATTTTAGTATCACACAAAAGCTGTCATTGTAAGGGATAGTTATTTACGAATGTGATACTGGAAAACATCGAAAGTCAGTAATGAATAGCCATGTTGCATGTTTGTTCGCACTACCGATGATAGTGCTCGAAATTTTCTGTTTCAGTTGTAAAAAATAGCAGTGTTTTCTTGCCAAATTCGATTTATTTATTAGAAAAAATTCAACTTAATCGAGAAGAAAACCTTTTCAGAATATATTTTGACTAATGAAAAGTTTGTTTTTATGCAGCACCATCTATAATAAAAGTTTATCTCAGAATTATAACCGATTTGAGCTCTGTGGTTAGTACAGACGGCTTAATGCATTGAAAACGACTCAGTTTTGATAGACTTCAAAAATATTCACCTGTTTCGATACAATGTTTTCGAAAAAGCCTCTGATAAAGCACACATTATACAGATCAGTATGTCGCCAGTAGTTATCACATGAGTATATTTCCATATAAAAATTATGACTAAAGTTGCGAAAGAGTGTTTTGACCTCAAGAAGATATTGCCGAACAAAGTCTTTTATGCGTTTTGCTCTTTCTAACAAAAAGCGAAGGATCAAGTCTGTGAAATATTGTATTATAACGCTATATTGAAAACAAAATTAAAGTAAAACTATTGATCTACTTACTACTTTATCTATCGTTGAACAAGTTAAAATTAAAATCGATCTTTTGTTTTCTAGGAATTGAACGTGCTCGCCTTCGCTATATGATACGTTCATTAGGTGGTAAATATTCTGGTCATTTAAGTAAATGGCATACACATTTATTAGCACGTGAAAATGGTAAAACAAATAAATTTAAAAAAGCTTTCGAATGGTCAATAGCAATTGTAAATGGTTTATGGTTATCAGAATTATATTTAGGTAATACATGTGCTCTTAAACAACCATTAGAAGAACGTTATAAACGTTTACATGGTACACCACAAATAGATCATTTTTCATTTGATCAAATTTTTGTTCATGATTTACTTTTACCATGGTCACAACCTATTCGTATAACCGATGAAATGCTTAATTTATCCATACGTCGTCATAGTGAACAACAACATTTATTATTAAATCCTCAAGATATGGATATAGATAATTATTATCTTAAAAATTCACATCATTATAATGAACCTATTAAATCAATAGTTCAATCAACATCAAATAATAATGAAATATTATCAATAATGCTTAGTGGTTTTAATATGAAAACATTAAATTATTATGAAGCAATAATTAAATCCTTGGGTGGTAAAATATCAACATTACCACATAATACAACACATTTAATAATGAATAGATTTTTACGTACAGAAAAATTATATGAATGTATGAATTATGTAACATATATATTAAATAAAACTTGGTTAGATAAGTCTTATGAAGAAAAACGTTTTGTATCAATAGAACAATCAGATTGGATACTTGATCAAGAATATAAATCAATACAAAATTTATTTAAACAATCAATTGATAAACGTATATATCGTCAGAATCGACCATTATTTATAGGTTATACATTTTTTTTAACTCCAAGTATACAACCATCACAAATAATAATTAAATCAATTATTTATTCAGCTGGTGGACATATACGTCGAGAATTTCCAACAATAAAACAATTAATAACATATAATGAACAAACTAAAATACCAAATTGCTTCATTCTATCATGTGATAAAGATAAATTATTATTAAAAGATATACATAAATATAATAATACCGATTTTCAAATTAAAATTTTATCAATTGATTTTCTTCTTCAAAGTATTTTACAACAAGAAATACTTAATTTTGATTCATTTATTGTCAAAATATAATTCTTATTGTGTCATATGTAGAATATTACAAACCATTCAATTTTTCTTTTCTTCTAGTTTTTTTTTTTCTTTTTCCTTGTGATATAATCACGCATTATATGTCTGATGTTTGTGTTCTATATGAATGTTTATTGTGTATGTATATATATACATAAAAAAGGATAACACTTCGTTGTATGTTTGTTTAACAAAAGAATTTTTCTTTTCAGATGTTTGGCTTTCCTATTGATCTATTCGGTATTCCGAACAGTACAAATCATCGAATGAATAGTAATTCATTAGTCCCACATCATCAATCTTTATTTGGAAATTCATTAATGATACCATCACCATTTGGTAATATGAATAGTTTAATGGGTGATTTTGGATTGAATTCATCTCCATTTGTAATGATGGATAGAATGATGCAGGGAGCAAATCAGAATTCAAATGGACCAGTGCATTCATTTTCATCGACAACTGTTATGTCTTACAATGGTACAGATGGAAGACCAAAAGTTTATCAACAAACAACCTCATGTAATCGAGGACCTGGAGGCATTGAAGAAACACGACATGCTGTTCGAGATAGTGAACGTGGAATTAATAAAGTAAATAGATTTAGAAGATGAAAATTAATCTTGAATAGTTAATCTTTTCAAATTAGTTTAAAGATTTCAACAAAAGAATAAGACAGTCTGTAACAATGATTAGATTCTTTTGAATGAAATCGTTTTTATTATATAGTATTTATAGGGAAACAATTATTGTAGTCGAAACGGGAAGCATCTAAAGAGATTTTTTTTTGTTAACCATTTTTGAATCTGAAGACTAAGTAATCTCTGTATTTAATTTTTTTTTCTTATTTAGCAGTAATTGAGAATTATATTTAATAATTGAAATTATTTATAGGTGCACATTGGCCATCGTATTGGTGATCGTAAGCATGTAATAGAACGAGAAATGAATACAGAAACAGGTCAGATATCTGAAAATGTTGAACTTGAAAATCTTGATGAAGATGAAACTGATGAGTTTAAAAACGAATGGCGTCAACGTTCAATACGTACTGGTGGTGGTGTTCGTCATTCACATCATCCTTATCATCATCAAATTGGTTTAAATCGTCATTATAATTCTTCATCAAGACCACAATCAGGACAATTAGCAATTGAACATAATTCTTCTGCTGGATTATCTAGTCGACAACAGAAAAAATCTTCAAAAAATGTCAATAATTCATCTCATCGACCTCAATATCATCCTTCAGATACGATTGATTTAACTGAAGATACGCCAGTTGAAGAAGATATAGAAGAAATTCAACAATTACCATTGCCACAATCATTATCTGCTAAACGTAAACCTTCATCATCTTCATCAAATGATATGAATACTCAACGTAAACATCGACAAAATCGTTTCTGAAATAAACAAATCGTCTTTGTCAGTTTATTCCCTTGTGTAAAGTTTGTCTCTTCTTTCTCTATCAAACAAAATATATTCATTCACAACATTCAGTTTTCTTTGTTTTGTTGTCAAAATTATTCTCATCAATTTTCTTTTATATAGATAGATCTTTTGTTATTCTTCATTCTATTAATGTTGAGAGACAAATAATGATCATGTATACAAGCAGCAATGAAAAAAAGTTAATGATAAAAAAAGTATATAGAGATATACTATTTATTTATTTTCTTTAGCTTGTATTTATCTTTGTTGATGCATGTATGTCAATGTGAAAATGATCGAGTTTTGTTTTTCTTAATTTTCTTCTTTTTTTTTCTACTCGTGAATACTTCTTGTTTTTGTCATACATTCAGAACTAATAAAGATTTTGACTTCATATATCATATGTTCTTTTGTTGTTGTTTTTAAATCTCTCTTTATGTATTCAATTTTAGTATTATGGTCTCGGCTAACATCATCAACCTCTTTCATTTGTTCAGTATTACAATTTAATTCCTTAAATAACTGTATAAGGTAAGATTGACTCTTACATAATATATTCCATCAAAGTTTCATTTTTTTACATTAGCCGATTGTAGGTGAAACTATTTGTTGAAGCTAAGAAAAAAAGAGTCACAGAACAAGGTACTCCTTTTCTTCGTTTCTATTTGGCATCGTATACGTTCCTGGACACCATTCGTCCCTAATTCAATCGTTACTATTCTTAATTCTTTACGTTTTGTATTTTTTTTTCTCTCTCGTTCTTATTCGTTCTCAGGTCTATGTAATATTTTACGCAAGAGTAAAAAAGTAAATGTAATTGAATCGATTTGAATATATATATACAGTATGTTGACCGTACTTCGGAAGTTCGTTTCATTAATCGATTGACTTGATTCTTGCTTACGCATGAAACGATTTCAAAATTAAACCAGGTTTCCATAGCAACCGCTTGGGAATGATAATTCATTCAAAATCATAATTTCGTTTACTATGAGAAAAGTCATAAGTAAATTATAAAACAAAAAAAAAAGGGAAACATACAATCTATTTATTGAAACAGTAGGAGCGTAAATATTTAGTACAATTTCCATATCATTTGAGTTCGATTTAGAAAGAATTAGTTCATTTCATAAATATAAGATTCTATTTTAGTAAAATAACTTCTTTTTTAATTTTAGTGTAAATATGAGTTTTGGTGGAAAAATTCGTGATATTTTTTCGAAAAAAAATCCATCAAATTCGTCACCACAAAATATCGCAATTTCAACACCTATAAGTGTTACTAAAAATTTTCATGTTTCATATGATCCAGAAAAAAAAGTATTTCATGGTTTACCATTAGAATGGGAGCAACAAGTGAAAAGTTTATTTCCGTAAGAATTTTTATTGTTTCAGTTGTTTTTTATTTCATGAATAACAAACCATAAAATACCAAATTTTTAGGTATTCAAAACCTGAAGAGAAAGCTCATGTAATGACATGTGCACTTAAAGTTATTCAACAAACGCTTCGAGAGAATCGTCAGTATTTTATTAGTATTCAACCAATCCTTTTTAATACATCTTTTTTAAATAGAGTGTCAGACAAAACATTTACATATTCAAGATTCATGTCATTCAGATGGATTATCATATGAATCAGGAGATGAATTAAGTGAAACAGAAAGTGATCTTGGATACTCACAAGAAACGCCTGATCGAAGTAATTCATCTTCATCATCATCCAAGAAAGATCAATTTGGTAATGATTAACATAAAATATCTAGAAAAATTCTAATCTTATTTCATGTTCTTTTTAAGAAACTAATCGTCCAGGTTCAAAGAAAAACAATCCTGGTTTCGCGCCACTATATGTCAATGCTGATGTAAGAAGAATTTCTTTATATGATTTTTTTCTTTTTCTTTACTTAATTGTTTTTTGTTAGTCAAGTGCTAATTTTGTTCAAGAACTCAAGCGTGCTACAATTCTTCGTAAAAAAGGTCTAAATGTAGGTGCTACTGCTAGATAGTTATATTTGATTTGATGAAACATGATCTAAAAGGATTTTCAAAGTATACATGGTACAAATTTGGATTCACTTCCCCTCAGATTGTGGCAGACACTCTGGCATCCCACCACAGGTTGTGCTAAACACCCTGAAGCCTTATGACAGACGTTATTGATACATGATCACACATTGTATATCAATAATTTCTAGTTACAACATATCAACTACTTCCTTATTGCATTTCTAGAGAATTAAGTAAAAAAAAAAAGGTAAAAAAAATTGACTCCAAGATGTATAGAATAAAGCAATATTTCTTTGATTAGCAAGAGCAGTTGCTTCCTATTTTACATTTTAATCATACAATGATTGTGCTGATAACTTTCTTTTTTGAATCAGATGAATACTGGAAAATCTGATGAGGATGATGATGATTATGATTATCATTCACCTCCAGCTGTAACATCATCAGATTCACGTCCTGACACTCCCAATTATTCTCAAAATAGACAAGGAAATAGAAACAATCATATGTGTCAAGACAATCGTGATACACTTATTAATGAGGATATAAAAAGCAATGAATATTTATCTGCATCAATATCTCCAAAGTCAACAAAACAACCACCAATTGTTCCTCCACCTTTTGCATCTTCTCTTCCAGTGCGTCATCATAGTAATAGTGACAGTTCATTAAAAAACAATATCAATGGAAAAGATCATAAACAAAGTAATCAACCACCTGAACTACCACCTAAAACAGCACGAGTCATAGCTGCAGCTGGCAAATCATCATCGTCTAATAAGACTATTAAAAGCCCAACGACTAATACAAATTATCGTCCTCCTGCAACACCTACATCAAAAGATGTAAGCCCATCAAATGAATTACAACCAGTGCATCGACAAAAGTCAAAAAGTAATAGGCGAAAAATGACAGAAGAAGAAGCAATAAAAGAACTTGGTTAGCTATACAATATTATAGTAGAACATTTATACAATGATCTAATTATTCTTTTAGAACCGATAGCTGGAAAAGATGATCCAATATCAAGATTTAGTATAAAGAAAAAAATTGGTTCAGGGTACGAATATATCAATTTTTTTTCTTGATTTATAGTTATTAAATATTTGTTTTATCTTATTAACAGAGCAGCAGGTGATGTTGATTTAGCCATTGATACAAAAACAAATACAAAGATAGCTATAAAACGAATGCTTTGGTCAAAACAACCAAGAAAAGAATTAATTGTTGGTGAAATTCTTGTCATGAAAAATTGTCGATTTCGTTCAATAGTTAATTTTCTTGATTGTTATTTAAGACCAAATGAATTATGGAGTAAAGAATTTCATAAATATAAACTTAAGAATAATAAATATTTTGTTTAGTTGTAATGGAATATATGAATGGTGGACAATTAACACAAATGGTTGAACAAACAGTTCTTGATGAAGGTCAAATGGCAGCTGTTACAAAAGAATGTCTTGAAGCATTACAATTTCTTCATAGTAAAAATATTATTCATCGCGATGTTAAATCAGACAATGTACTTGTTGGTTTCGATGGTTCAAGTAAAAAAAAAAAACAATCGTATATTATACATAGCAAAGATTTATTTCTAACTTTATTTAGTAAAATTAACGGATTTTGGCTTTTGTGCTCAATTAGCAAGTACAGACAGTTTACGAACAACAATGGTCGGTACTCCTTATTGGATGTCACCAGAGGTGATTAAAAAGTAATGCTTATAAATTCAATGAAACTTCAAGTACTAAATAAAATATTTACTTTGTAGACTCAAATATGATCGAAAAGTTGATATTTGGGTAAGTCAAAACAAACAAAAATTTCGAATTAAAGAACTAATCGACTGTTTTTTGTCTATTTAGTCACTAGGTATTCTAGTGATTGAAATGATTGACGGTTCACCACCGTATATAAATGAACAACCTTTTCGTGCTATGTGCAAAATAGCCATGCAAGAAGAACCTCCATCAATTAGTGCTGAATCTCAAGCACGCATATCAAGTGACGCAATGAATTTTCTAAAGCATTGTCTACAAATTGATCCTAAACAACGGGCTGATACAGCTGAACTTCTTGAACATCCATTTATTAAACATGCTAAACCATTAAAATCACTTTGTCCAAACATAAAAGCTGTTTGCAACAATGATGTAGATTAAAAATAAAAACGATTTCCTGTTGGCCATATTTTTCTTATGTGCATTTTATTTCTTTCTATCTTTTTTAATCCTATGTATTCGTAATTGTTATAACTAAACAAATGTACGTATGCATTCTCTAGTTTCTCGTGTTATTTACTTTCAAAACACACAAAATGATTGAAGACAGCAACTCTTCCAAAAAAGATTTCCTTTTTGTTTTTTAGTTTTTCCTTTATTGATCATTTTTATTCTGTGATTCTTTTTTATATACGTTTTTTTTTGTTTCTACTTGCATACTAATAATTTTTCCTGTTAGGGGCAACCGAAAGAATTAAAGGAGAATGGTTTATCAATTTTTTTTGCTTTTTTTGTATTTTAACGTAATGTCGCATGATGTTACTCTACTTTTTTTAAAATTTCCTAAATAAAATCAAATCTACAATGCATAAAAATGGTTGTGTTTTTAATATTTATTTTTTCTTGTAGATGTTGAATTTCAATTGGAATTCAATTGATGAATCTTCGTGAGTTTCTAAAATATATAATTATTTTATGATTATATTTTTTTCAATAAATATCAGATTTCAAGGTCATCTAAACAAATATACAAATGCATTTAAAGGATATCAAAGCAGATATTTTGTACTAGATGCACAAGCAAAACATTTGCTATATTTTATGGTATACATGATATAATTCATTTTTGAAAAACTTCTTGTACGTTTTGATTATAGCCAGATGAAGTTCGAAAGAAAGGCCCAAGAGGTGTAATTGAATTAACAGATTGTTGGATATCACCATCGAACGAGGATGATGTTACTTTCGCTGTACAAACTGGAAGTGGAGATGCTTATAAATTACGAGGTAAATTCAAGATTTCCATAGAGAGTGTTCCAAAAGTTTGAAAGAGAAAAAGTCATGAATAGCTTCTTAGTAATGGAAGAATTTACATAATTACTTAAACAAAAAGGTCAATGAAGTTTATGCCACTTGTAAAAAATGAGCCATGATTAAGTGCTCAGTCTATGTAACTCTTCTTCGTAGAATTATTGAACAAATTGTACTTTGTATGACTTGAATAAGACATACATCGCATAATCCGGTGCGCTGTCGTTTGTGGTAATGAACAAGCCTGTGTAGTAGACCGAATACTTGATTCTGGCTCATTTTTACAAGCATCCTTAACTTCATTGACTTTTTCTTTAACAATTACTGTAGGTCTCTCAAAACACGATCAATTTTCGATAGAATCAGTTTCAGAAAATTGCCACAGTGTGATTTTAATACAGGATTCAATTGGTGTACTTTCATTGAATTCGATTTACAGCTTTCGTTTTACAATAGTAACTGACTCGAATTTGGCCATCAGTAACACTATTTCAATTCTGACTTCTGTAGTCACAGATATGTTATCTGAAAACTTCAGTAAATATATCATCAAACTGTAAAACAAAACGCTTAAATCTCCGGAGTTTCTGAGAAACTATTCACGTTTTTTATTGTTTAGACTTTCACAAAATAGAGTACTGCACGGATACAACTGTTCGTACCAGTATCTGACTCGAACAGATATTATTTATCCGTATTCAGGTATGGGTACCCAACTTGTAGGATGCATTACTGTAACACATCGCTGATAGTTTAACAGAATCAGGGGCCAAATCGAACCGACTTTTACTGGTTCATATTCGGTTCGGCTCGTTTTCGGCCTCTGAACAAAACGACAAATTAACTATATCATCAAAGATAGCGCTATTAAATAGCAACATCAACAGCACATATTTTCAATTTTTTTTATGAATTATACTGTTAAAAATGAAATTTGTGTCTCCAAAACTCGTCACTTTTCACACTCGTACAAAGGTACGGGTAAGGATCTCCAACCTATGAGTTGCATTGCTCTATTCTAGAACACTCTGTGCATCCTCTCTGCACATAAATAAATCTTTTTCTTTTAGCATTTGATGCTAAAGAAAGACAAAAATGGATAGATAAATTAAGAACATGTTCAGGATCGAATGCAGCTAATCTTGTAAGAATTAAAAAAGTCTTATTTTATTTGTCATATAAAACAATGATTTCTTTGGTGTCGTTGCAAAGTATGTTTCATCTTTACCAATATCAAAAACGCATCAAACAAATACATCAACAACAACATCAACTAGTTTACCCAATGAGTCAAATATTCGTTCTTCGACTCAAAGAAATTCCAAGTATAAGATTTAGAATTAAACATTATTAATTAAATAAATAATAAACTGATGATTTCCTTTTAATTTCACAGATCATATGAAAATCAACACACACTTAAAGAACTTAAAGAAGTCATACGTTGTGTTGAAGTCAATCAACGAGAATTTGTTGAAACAATTTATGTTTGTTATGCTTATACCATTTCTTTATTATTCTTACAGTCTTTTGTTTTAGACATTGCCTGATGATATTCCTTTGAATTCAATGGCTAAAGTAACATGAACCTAGACTGATTGAGTCTTCTGTTATGTTTATTTTTTTATATACTAGAATATGTTACTTCTTCGTTCCATATCTCAATCATGCATAGGCTCATTACAGGATAGCTTAACAATACTTACTAGAAGAAGGTTTGAATTTTAACATAAAATAAAACAAAGAAAATGATATTTGAAGTTTTAATTAGAACGCCTGAGAATGAAATACTTACTACGTCTGTACCATCAACTCCATTACTGCAATCATCAATATCAATAACAAATACTTCTAATAAGCAATTGACTCAATCTTCTAATAATAGTACTAGTGGAAAATCAAGTTCACCTGGTGGTGTATCATCACAATCAAATCCATTTGCTGTACAGACCAGAACTTTAAGGTATGGAATTTATAATTTTAGCTTCAAAAACTTTTCTCCATTCAAGATATTCTATGTAGAGTGACTCCCAAAATTATTCGATTACGTTTATTTTCATTTTTTTTCGCTGCCGTAAGAACTATCAATAATCCAAATAGTAATTTTAGTAGAGCTTTTCATTTACAAGAAGAAAAGTATTATAGTTTTTAGCTGTTAGAATTTGAAAAAAGAATTCTGTCTCAACTATCGAGCATGATAGATCAAACAATTCTCTATAACACAGACGTTTTCAAACTCTCTGTAACGTTATTTGTCCAAGATAATCCACCTTATAGAAGGCATAAAAGTCGTTTCATCTGTTATTTCGTATACAAACGCCATTTTTTGTGCCTTTCGTACAAATGATGTATCTCGGACAAAAAACGTCATACAAAACTTCAAAATATTTCATTGTGTAGAGTATAGTTTTCTCTCCCACGCACTATAATTCAGACAGAGTTCTTTTTTCGAACGGTAAAACCAAAAACCTATGATTTTTCGTTTTACAGGAACTCGATCCTTGGTAAACTAGCAATCTTGATATCTTCAAAAATTCTTGTTGGAAATAAAATTTCCCACCCAAATCACTAACCTCTGTTCGAGACGAGTTCAATCGAGTTACGAACAAACTTTTGGATTTCGGGATAAATCTGCAGAATAAACATTTTGTAGATTCAAAAGGCATGGTTGAATGTTTTTTGTTTTCATTTAAAAGTTCTATAAGAGAATATCGAAAAGCTTAATAGAACAAGAAGTTATACATCGCATGAACATTTATTTTACTTCACCGACTTTTCCTTATTGACATTGGACAACAATGCATAGCGAGTGTACTATCTAGTCAATCGTGATATAAAGATTGCAGGTTGTATGCATAAGAAAGGCAAGACCAACAAGAAAACATTCTATGACATAATCGTGTTATTTCAATACCGAAATAGTAAGAACAGAAAGAAGCTAAGGACATAACCCTTTGTTTCCCATTACGACATGAAAGAAAGAGAACAGGATTGCGAAATTAGTTTTTTCAAGAGAAAGAGAAAAGTGATTGGTACTGAAGTCCACTCGGATCGGATCAGGTCACAAAAATTTGACCGATATCTGACACGGCAGCGGAAACAAATTGAAAATAAATGTGTTTGAATTATTTTGGCAGCTACTGTATGTCAGCAAGGACAAGACTTTCAATAGCATAAAAATAAGTATGCATTACATACATGTTCGTTTTTAGAAAATATAGAAAAAGAAAATTCTAATTCGAACATTTTTTTATTATAGTCTTAGTGGTTTTAATCAATCAAATGAAAACAGTAGTATCAACAAAGAACTCAAGAAGTAAATTTAATGTTGTAAATTTATTTTAAGTATTTATACAGTTATTGTAAATATTAGCTGATATTGGCACTCTCAATGAACACAATGATGTCTTGATTTGTATTGTGATTACAACTAGTCAATAGTCGTGATTTATATTATTTATTATGTGTACATAGTTGATTCTTTCAACTAATGAGATTTAATTTGAGCTGTTTTAAAGTTATTATTTTTCATGCAACAAAGTTATATAAATTTATTTATTGATGTTTATGTTTCTTTTTTTGTTCCGTCGCAATAAACTTATGCTAATATAATTTCAAATTTGACACAGTCTAGTTGTTTTTTCGGTAATTCTAGATGCCAGAAATAACGACTCAAAAGGAAAATCTTTTGAGTCTTCTTTCAATTGAAGTATTTATAAGCCATGTTCATATTGATCTTAATATAGAATGTCATTTGCCTTGTGTAGTTTTTCGTTTACTTGATTATCCAGCTGTATCAATACCTTATTTTGATCAATGGCAAGTAGAAGATTTTCATAATTTAAAAAAAGACTATCCAAATATATCCTGGCGTCAGTTATTGTCTGATCAATTTTATGAACTTCGTTCAGCTAATGGAAAATTTAATTTTAATCGTGGTAAATCATGTTTATTTAAAACTTATTTTAAAACATTATACACACATTTATTAAATGTACCACTCTTTATATTACTTATTGATCAAATTAATGATAGTCATAAAAATGAGTCACATTTTATTGGTAGTTGTAATGTTAAATTAAATGAATTAATTGAAATATTAAATCAATCAATTATTAAAAATGGTTATGATATACCACTTGTTGAACAACAAACATTCCATTGTATACTTTTTAATTTAATGGGTACTAAAATTGGTACTTGTGATATTGCTATTCGATTTTGTCATTATGGTACAACTATTTTAACACATTTACCAATGCTTCGTGATGAACAAGTAATTAAAACAGATAAAAAGTAAGATCATTATGAATCTGTCTTAGACAGTGCTGTAAGAAGTTGCAGAATAACACTAGGCCTTTGACTTCTTTCGAATTTTATTCTTCACTAATATTACTTTTTCGTTTTAAATTTATCGTCAATATATAGAATCATTATGTGATCTTTCAATAGTTATTGTAGTAAATATTGAAAGAGCACATATGAATCTATATATTAGTGGTAAATTTGAAACGAAAAAGCGATATTGAATAAAAATAAAATTCGAAAAGAAGTCAACGGCGGAAGATGATTCTATAATTATTCACAACACCATATCTTTCCATTTGCTTACTAGAGTTCCAGTTACTACCAAAGAACAAGCTACTGAATCATCAGTTATTTCACCACCTACGGATACAATTGTTAAACATATTCATTTTGTTAATGAGAAAAAAGATGTTGGTTTACAATTGTCTCGTAGTGATCTTCCGTCATCATCAAGTAATAATAAATCAGCTCAAACACGTTGGACAAGTACAAAAACTCGACCAATTGATTCTCATCATTCAAAACGTCGATATTTACGTACAATAGAAGATCCATCGTTTGATGATCCAACCCTTAATTTTTATCGACCACCACCACTTTATTATAATTCTGATTGTGATTTTCTTCAAATGATAACACCAGTATCAACAAAAGTCATCGAACAAGCAAAAGAAAATCGTTTATCTTATCTTGCATCCATTCCTATTGTTAGCTTCGATGATGAACCGAATATTGAAAAAGAAGATAATGATGACGAAAATGAAAAGCGTCATTTAAAAAGAAAATCTACAAGTAATGTACGTTTTAATTTACCTTCATCATTACCATCAAAAGTTATTACTCGAACAACAATGATTTCAAAACAGCCAACATTAGCAAAAGATTTTTTACATAATTTCCCACTTCTTCGATCGCTTGTTGAAGAAGCTTTAGCTTTACAACAACATCAATATGATATACCAACATCAGTTAGACATGTAATGTTCGATAATCGTCCACATTCAGCTGTACAACAGAAACAAAATAATTTAAAACAAATGTCAGTACGACCTAAATCGGCAATGAATGTTCGTACAATACGAACTAAATCTGTTATTGTAACAAGAAATATAAATAATACACATCGACTTTATCCACCTTCATCAAAAACGAATAAAATAATCGTAACAAAAAATGAAGTACGTGATTTAGTTGATCGGTTGTCTAAGCCAAAATTTAATAAACGTGTTGAACGAGAAATTGCATCGATTGATCAAGATCTACCAACTCAAGAACCGATTGTAAAAACGCCACGCGTCTCTTCGAAATCTACTATTTCTACTAGAGTATTTCATTTGCCGTTTTTTCATTTTCATATTAAATAGTCTTTATTTTTATTTTCATTAGTCTATCAATACTACACGAAAGCCACCACCTTCTTATGGTACAACACGTGCTCATCGATTAATGACTGAACTTTCTCGAGCTCGTCGTGCTGGTCTTCAACCTCAAGCAGCTAGTTCACCTAAGTCGCAAACATCTCCAAAGAAAGAACCGATATCAAATAGTCATACTCCTTCATCATCACCACAAATAATGAATACTGCCACAATTTCACGCTTATCTCTTCTAAATAAAGTTGATGTTGATACTCCTACTGTACAAAAAACGAATATTCAACGAGCATCTTTGGAAATAACACCAGAAAATAAGGGTCCAATTCAGAAATCACCATCAACAACAAGTCAAGATGTTACTTTAAAATTGAATCGAACAATAACAAAGATTACATTTTCCACTCCTGAATCAACTGGCATACCTCAACATAATCAAGAAAATGATCAAAGAAATGATGATTTAGCTTTTTCGATTACTGATATAACTGATTAGTAAGTTTTTGTTTTTTTTATCTTGTACATTATTTAATCTTTTTTTTGTATTGTAGTTTTACCGATGGTGGAGAAACAAGCACTCGTTCACCAAGTCGACAATCCACGTGATCACTTATTTTTCTATAGAAACAAAAAATAAAAATCTATGTCAGATGTTTTAACTTAATATAATTAATCCGTCCGTTTGAAGAAATATTTTAACATATTAATTTATTTTTAATTGCATTAGTTTATTTTTAATATATAGTTTTATTATAGCACTCAGAATAGTTCGGTTCTAAATATTTTTTAACTTTTATATATAGAATTCGAATATATATATATTTTTTCCTTTTTTTAAAATAAATATGATGTTGCTTTTTTGAGGGTGATTTAACGACTAACTGAAATTTCACTTGTCTTTACAATCATAATTATGTATCTGTATTGCTTGAAACGATGACAAAAAAAGAAGTTGCCTCCGAATGCATTTTTTTAATGAAACCAGACGAGTCGGGCCAGTGCGAATGGTTGCTTAGCTGCTTCGCGAATCTGTGATAAAAATATTCATTTCGTCCTAAAACCAAGTTGGATTAGCAACAAACTATTTTTTTTCTTTAGATTTTTTTCTTCTAGAAGAGCGATTAAAACCTTTCGCAGGACAAACATCTACTTTTGCAAGTATAGACGCATAATACGGGGCATAAGAACCCCTAACTGCCAGAGAGCCAACCTAATCTTCAGTGGGACATTGCTGTAACGATCTACACGCTTAACAAAATATTGGAACAAGCTCAAATCAAAGATTCTCAACTCACTACTCAAATTTTTAACAATAATGATACAAAAAGCAAAATATGGGCAATCTCTTCTTCGAAAAAAAAAACATTTTTATTATAGACACAGTAAACCTTGTTTCTACAAATGAAACACGAAAATGTGAAAAAAAAATTGTTAAACCATAGTTGCTACGTGGAATTTTATTATTCACTGCGGTCGAGAAATCTCGATTTCAAAATTCTATAAGATATCTGAAATCGCTCAGTAACTTCGGATAGGATCCTCTTGGAAATAGTCGAATTCCTTGACATAGAGTTTCGACAGTAAGTTGTTGGCTGTCATAGTCAACAGCTGGAAAATGTCAGAGACACTCAGGATCCAATGGATCATATTAGATTTACATCTAGATGTCAGACGTTGTCTGAACTCTCTTTCGTGCCATCTTCTATCAACTCTTTCTTCACATACAATTCAGTCAAAATTAACAGATTAAAATATACTTCATTTTTATTTATTAGTACACTTCATTAATGAATAATTAATCAAAATAAAAGAAGAGAATGACATTCTTTTTAATCTTATAATTACATTGATAATGTAAAAGATAAAAATGAAACTATTTCATTTGAACTAATTGTTAGTTTGAAATATTGAGTAATAAATTTATATAAGCATTATAAAAAGAAATAAAAATATCACTATAAACAATGGTTGAATAAGAAATATAAGTAAAAGGAACACAAATGATATAAAGTAATAATTAAATTAACTTCTTACATACAAGATGATAACAACTTATTTTTAGAACTCAATTAATCAAAGAGCAAAATAAACGCAATATGTTTATAATTAAATAAAATTCATCTGATTCGATTAATCCAAAATGATATTCATTTTCTCATATTAGTCTAGTCACATTTTAATCCACTTAAACAAAATTCAGTTCTCTTGCTTTTTTAAATTTAGATATATTCAATTTATTCTATTAGAAAATGGCTTCGCTTCAGCATAGATAATATTACAAAGATACATGTCAAATATTGTCTGATAATCATAAAAAAGCAAACAATTTGAAATAGTTGATTTTCAACACCATATTGTTGCAAAATCGATGAAGAGAATGATGCGTATTAAAATTGATTTGATTATATATCGGGTCCGTTCTAATACAACACCCAATATCGTCAGTTTAGTTCAAGTTGCTGATTAACAGAATGCTGATAAAAAAAAAGCAAAAATACCATAGCAATGAACCCAAATTCGTAACGAGCTGAAGTCATTTAATTAAACCTTCGTAGTTCTGCATTAGTTGAACTAATGCTCAGAACCCATCCACACACACAATGAAAAATCCTGAGTCTTCTATTATGTTTGTGTACGAACTTTTTACAGTGATCTTCTAATATGAACTCCTACCCATGAAAGATTGAATTTCGTTATTACATGTTAGTGAGTTCAGTATGATTATGTGTCAAATACAAAGTCAGCCTACACAACAAAAAAACTACAAACGAATTTCAACTCCTCATAAACTAATTTAAACTGAGATTTTTCACTTTGTTGTTATTGATTACTTGTTTTTCGATCATTGATTTCTTTACTACTATGATCTTTGTCATTTTCGGACTCCCATTATTAGAACTATCACAAGTATCAAAATTTGAATCTTCATCATCACAAATATGTATAGAATTTTGTTCTTCTATACTTGATGTGTTCACTACATGTATATTACTGCTCATACAAATAGAGTTTAATATTAGCTGCTCTCTACTGTTCGCACCATTTATTGCCCTCTCTTATTTCTTCCAAAGAAAATATATATCAGTTATGTATCAATAAGCTTTCATTTTCTCCTGTGTTCTTTCTCAACTTTTTTCTTCTATAAACATGATTCAACATATTTCAACAAAAAACAAATTAAAAAGATTTAAGTGAAGAGTTTTATTACAAGACTCGGCTGTTCTATCCTTAAGACAAAGTGTTATCACATGGGATAATATGTCTTGTTTTTAACGTTTGTAAATTTATAGAAAAAATTCGCAATAGATGTTTTCAAACATATGTACATCTATCATAAATAAATATTAAGATGACTATATGTAAAAGAAACAAACATAGTTTTAATTGAATTTCATAATTTTTAGAAGACGATTGCAAAAAAGAAATTTTAATCAATACATGTTTGCATGACCTAAAAAATTGCAGGTCAATCTTCAACGCATTCCTTTCTTTCGAAACTATTCACCGTGTATTATATTTTTATCTATATCGGTGCCCACACATTCTTTTTATGAGCCAATAGACTTTTTTAAAATTTTTTCAAAAAGAACAAAATAATGTGAAAAATAGTAAAAATAAGATATTGATTATTTTTTTCATTATATGCAGCTTATGAGATTTCCTTATTAGCAAAATCTCATGATAATATATATACCGAAGCATAAAAAAAAACATTGAAAATTACTTGGGTATTGCTGTCAAATAGTATGAAACCCTTTCATAGGTTGACGAAAAAGAAACGAATACGTGAAGTGTTCTCTGCGGTCTTATTGGCTTCACAACAAATAAAAATTAATGTGCATACAATTCTTGCTCTTTCTTATGGGCGTCACTTCTATAATTCATATATATTGCATTTTTATCATATGAATTAAAACAAAAAGAAAGCAAGATTGAATTGAGTTAGTTCGTACAAAATAAACTTGACGATGGCTGCACCATATTCTAATGTCCATGTTGCACTTCTATCACGAATGGGACGTCGACGATCTCGATCTTTAACATTACCAAATAAAGGTCCACGAGAAAATATTCGAGTGCAAAGTGTTCGACGAGTAAGCATGAATCTAGTAACATTGGAAATATATATACTATACGAAATAATTTTAGAAAGAATCTTTGGCACGATTACAGAAGGAACGGCTGAAGCAAAAGAAGAAACATGATGAACGAGATAAAAGCCAGAACGAACAACAACACGATGAAGAAGAGCATCATCAACCAACAGTTAGTCGATTAGCACAGTCAACTAGGGCAATGTCGATCAGAAAAATGGCAACATCGGCAGGAGTAACTGTAACTACAGTGAAGAAAGAACTGTCATCGACACCATCGAAAACTACACATGTACAAGAAGAGAAAGACGATCATCATCAACCAACAGTTAGTCGATTAGCACAGTCCACTAGGGCAATGCCGATGAGAAATATGGCAACATCAGCAGCAGTAAGTGTAACTAGAGTGAAGAAAGAACTGTCATTGACACCATCGAAAGCTTCATATATACAAGAAGATGAAGAAGATCATCATCAATCAACAGTTAGTCGATTAGCACAGTCGAATAGGGCAATGTCGATGAGAAAAATGGCAACATCAGCAGCAGTAAGTGTAACTAGAGTGAAAAAAGAACTGTCATCGACACCATCGAAAGCTTCATATATACAAGAAGATGAACAAAATCATACACGTCAAGTACAAGTTACTCATATACCACGATCAGAATCAACAATATTATTTAAAGAACTTAATCCAACTACATTAGGTAAGAATTCCAATGCTAATGCATTAATAACATTCAAAAGTTGAAATCTTGATTCATCTATAGTAGGTAATGGTTCGTCTCTTGGGTCATCACAAACATCATCCGCTAATTTAATACTAAAATCTGAAAAGTTCGATCAAGAGTTTTTTCTTAATGACAGCAAAGATCATGTGCGAAGAAATGATGTAAAAGATCATGGCTGTATCAAAATAAGTGAACGAGAAAAGTCAGTTATTCAATTAAATAATTATTGAGTTCACATGTTCGTTTTTTTTTTCATGCAAGATACTATAATGTTCATGGTAAAAGACTATATGCAACATCTAGTGTAAGTTTGATGACTGCTATTATTGGGATAATCATTGCTATTATTGCATTTGCATTTGGTCTTACGGCACTGATACTTGTTCTACTTCTTCGATCGACTGTCGATTCTAAATTAGGTATGAACGAATTTTCTGCTTTCTCATTCATTTCTTTTTTTGATAAAAAGAATTATTTCCTTTATTGCTAAGTAACACGTTGTAAATAGATTCTTTTTTATCACAGCAACAAATTCAACAACATCGAGTTCATCATCATCAGACAGTTTGCCATCGCAATGTTCAGCTTATACAACTCTTGATGATCCAACTCGAAATATAGCTGCAGTAGGTTATGCACTTGGTTGTGATACNTTTACAGCTTTTTGTATATCTTTAGTTTTCGTCTTTTTTCAAATATACCTAAAACTATTTTTGAGCCTAGTCATCTATGGTTTTGTAGAGAATTTTAAGCGCTATCTTTTGATAATAATGAGAGCTTTACTTACAGTGATAATAGACAGGAAATCTTAAAAATGCTGGGAGGCTCATTATTCCTGGGACACCCGATAGTTAACATGGTAACAAATTTACTTTCAATTATTAGTGACTTAATTCAAATCTATATATACATATATGTTAATGTTCAATCTGGCATTACCTTCAATCTCAGATTAGCTTAGGTGAATCCAGGATATGGCATAGGGCGTGTTCAATGTGATATTATGAGAGAAATTTACGCTAAAACTTAAGGCCACCCCGCTTCCTCCCTCAAAAAAGTCACTTTTCGTCAGAATCATTGAAATTGAGGGAAATTCATGGGGAAATAGCCCGTCATCTGCTCTTTCATATGCGAGAAAATTTTTTATTCAGCATCTCTTTTTATTCAAAATTGACTTTTGAAGATTTTCGTCACCCCCTATTCGAAAAACAGGCCGTTCTTACAAAAAAACCGAAAATCATTTTTCGTTTTTCTCAGAACGTCGGTTCAACGACGTATCTCCAGCAGAACTCCATTACAGTAAGAGGTAAAGTCAAATATTCTTTTTTGTTTGAAAGCTAATGTGCAGGGCTAGCGACTCTCGTGGCTCTTTTTTTTTTAAATAAGCTTTTTTATTATCATAGAAGATAACCTCTATATCGGAGCAGCGCAATTTTTAGAGAGGTTTTTTGAGTCATTGAACTTTCGCTCCGGTTTTTCCCCCCTAAAAGTAAGACTTTAAAAAAAGGACCCACGAGAGTAGCTGCATTCTGACATGCTCTTTCAAACAAACAAAAATTAAATGTCTATAATGAAGATCCACAGAGAAAACTTGGAGATACTAAAGAGCTATTTTTGGTCCTTGTTTGGTGCATATCTCGGTTAAACATCGTGCTACAGGGCTGGAAATTTGATCATAGCGATGTCTCATCAGCCCCAACATATCCTGAAATTTTCATGTCATTTGAATGTTCCTGGGCTGAGATCCATTTCTGAGGCGGGGGAGGGGGTGGCCTTAAAGTAGTCTTCAAATCCATATTGCATTTGGACTCTTATTGATAAACTCTAATGAAACGAATCGTATTTCAATTGATACAGTCATCAGTTGATCAATGAAGCTTGCATTTGTGAATTTATGGATAGTTTTATAAACAAAACGACTGCTTCAATGAACAACTATTCATTAGTACTCGAATGTTTACTGAAGCCTTCCTTCTTTCAGAATCGATTTTCGATACGATGCATAAGAGTTTCATAAAGTTTTCTACAAATGTTTGGCTAATGAAAGTACACCAATAAAAAAATCTTGATGGCTCCAAACTTTATTATTCAGCAGATTTTCAGACGCTATCATGTCAAAAAGAGCTTTTACAGGTGCAAATATTTTTTCAGAATACTCCAAGCAATAGTGCCCGAGCTATTCTTAATTGAAAGAGAACTCATTACAGCTTCCGATGAGGAAAAGAGCTTTTCTTCATTTTAATTTAATTTTTCTTTTTGACATCCTCGAAATCTTAAGACTCTAAGTACCTTTGACAGTATTTCTTGAAAAGCTCATGATTACTTTGACATTGAGATCAAATACAAAATCCTGTTCTCTCATGCTACAGAGAATGCATCTATATATCGAATACAAAAGACATAGGCAGTTAACTCAGAGTTGCCAGATCAAAATCTTAGAAATCGGAATTTTTTTGCTTGAATTCGGAAAAATTCGGAAAAATATCTCGCTAATTCGGAAAGTCGTTTTTAAGCTTTCACTGCCTGTAACCAAGATAAAAATTCTTTATTTAATGTCCAATCCTTTTTTAAAAACACCTTTCTTTTCTCTTTTTTTGGAATTTGAAATTGTTGTTAGTTGAATAGATTCTTGTTCTTCTACACTCACGGTCATACTAATAGATGAACCATCTGATTTATCATCCATAATAACGTTCAGTTTATTCTGAAATATAGTTATGAAAATGTAAAACGACATTTATTTACATTTAGATTAAGATTTTTAGAGATATGATTTATTTATATGACTTCTTTGAAAACTAAATATTGATTGAAGCTATTCTAACAAATCTTAGACGAGATGAGATTTGAAGAAAAAATTATCATTTTAAATCTTCTCTTCTCTCCCTTCTCTTCTGATTTGTAAGAATAAAATCAATTATCCAATGATTATAAGAAAATAAACATAGCGCCATATGAAATCTATCAAAAATTATATCGAAAATTATAATGGAAAGGAAATTTAAAAAAAATATTACAATTCGCAAAGAATCGGAAAAAATTCAAGAATTCGGATAAATTCGGAAAGTCGGAAGGCAGTCGGAAAAACTTAGGAAATTCGGAAAATTCCGACTAATTCGGACGATCTGGCAACCCTGAGTTAACTAGAATTAACACTCGAAAAAAAAAATTCTTCTGAATTCGACAACTTATGTCAAATATAAAATTTCGAAAAAAACGTGTGTGCAGTTTTTTGTATATTCACATGAAGAATTTTCTGATATGAGCACCAAATATGATTTTATGAGGCATCCATTAACAGTTCATTTAGAGTCTTATGAAGTAACTCTCTAGCTACACGTTGAGCTATGATAGAAGGCGCTAACTGTCATTACGAGAATAATTTACCTATGGATTTAGGTATTAACCTTTTCACTCGAGAGCTATAGAAAATCATCATGATTTCTGAAGAAAAATTTTAAAATTGGAAGCCATTTGTATGAATTTTCAAACTAGATACTTTAGGAATCATGCCTACATATTTATCTTAAAAAAACTATCTTTTTCTTAGAAAAGTCGATCCTTTTGGAGAGAGAGGAGAAAAGAGCTTAAGTCATCTATTGATGATTGTATTAATTAAAAAACATTACTTCATCAAAGTTGACCAATAAAAACCGAAATCCAACATCGATATGCTGTCCGATATTCTTCAAGACTAATTCAAAATTGAATGAAATCTCAGTTTGGCCGTCAACATATATTTATATATGAACTTTTCACATTCAGCAGTAAAAAATACTTAGTTACTGAGAAATTATGCTCATAATCATTCTCACATATATACTATTCAAAGGACATGGGGGAGGGGTATATAAGGATTATTTTGGGCCCTCGTTAATAGAGCTATTTTCGAAGTCTAAACAGATTTTTGTTCAAAATGTTGACATTTACTTTTGTACCGTAAATCTAAGATTTGCACAAGAAAGAACTAGACATGTATGTATTTTCGAAACGAGATATTTCGAAACAAAAATGATGTCAAACAACTGCCATACCATAGTGTATCTGTGGTAAAAATTTCAGCTCAATTCGCTGAAGTGTTGTTGAGTAATGATGAAAACATCAATTGGAATTAGTATAAAAATCACATGGTTCTTCTATTATCTTTTTTACTTCTGTTCACTATTTTTACAATATTTCAAGAAGGGAAAAAACAAAATGATGTTTTGATTGATTTTAAAAGCTCAAAAGAATGGCTACAAAACTAGATATTTTCTTCGATTTTTTTAGAAGTGGTCTTCATTAAATAAAATGTCCGGAATTTTTCTGGGGCACCAGTTTTTCACATTTTTTACAGGTCTTTGACCTATTTTCATTGGAAAAAGTAGAGTTCGAGTTAAAACTAAAATCCTATTTGGAATCAGCGTAAAAAATTGAGCCGACTGATGCGTGTTTCAACATACTTCAACGAACTTTGTTTTTTTCTCTAAAAATTCATCTTGGGTACCCTCAGGGTCAATCGGAAATTTATTTTATTCAGAAAAGTATTGGATCAATGGAAAAGAACCTCTAAGCGCATAAAACATCATCAACGTGCAAAACAACACATGGGTATAGAACAGAAATGCTTTTTTGGAAAAAATAAATTGTCGACTGACTCTGAGGGATACCCAAGATGAATTTTTAGAGAAAAAACAAAGTTCATCAGAGTATGTTGAAACAAACATTGGCCGATTTAACTTTTTACGCTGATTCTAAATAGGATTTTGGTTTTGACTTAAACTCTATTCTTTTCAATGAAAATAGGTCAAAGACCGGTAAAAATTATGAAAAACTGATGCCCCAGAGAAATTCAGGACATTTTATTTAATGAAGACCACTTCTAAAAAAATCGAAGAAAATATCTAGTTTTGTAGCCATTCTTTTGAGCTTTCAAAATCAATCAAAACATCATTTTGTTTTTTCCCTTCTTGAAATATTGTGAAAATAGTGAACAGAAGTAAAAAAGATAATAGCAGAACCATGTGATTTTTATACTAAT